CCCTAATCAAGTGGATGTTAATCTCAATAACTGGTGATAAGTTTGTAATACTCAAGATGAAACTAATTAACTGTTATTACTGGTGATTAGTTTGTAATAGTCAGGATGAAACTAATTAACTGTTATTACTGGTGATAAGTTTGTAATAGTCAGGATGAAACTAATTAACTGTTATTACTGGTGATAAGTTTGTAATAGTCAGGATGAAACTAATTAACTGTTATACCAATGATAGGTTTGTAATAGTCAGGATGAAACTAATTAATTTTTATTACTGGTGATAAGTTTGTAATAGTCAGGATGAAACTAATTAACTGTTATTACTGGTGATAAGTTTGTAATACTCAAGACGAGAATGAGGAGTAGTTGTTGATTTATCAGTATTTAACAATTATGAAGCCAAGACAAGATTAAATTTCTAAAATTGACCAATACTGTTTTTCCTTAATCTGTAAAGCTGCCACTGTTTTCTAATATAAGTGCAAGCTTACAGTTGTTTATAAGTTTATTACCTGATGATGGCTAGATAACTCTAAAGTTTGCACTTGGATTTACATTATTTATTCTTAGGTATTACTATTCAACCCTTTAAACACAGCAGATGATAAGTTTGTAATAGTCAGGATGAAACTAATTAACTGTTACTAGTAATAACAATTAATTAGTTGGTAGCTCACAAGTTTAAAGGATTAAAACTTCAGAGGTCTGTACTTTTTGTGTGTGTGTGTGTGTGTGTATCAATCAGTTAATGCATGAAAGTCTGGGCTGGATATTTGACCAGTCAAAAACAATTATTCAAGTACTTTATTTATGCTTTCTATTTTATTTTTAACTATCTATATTGAATTTTGCATAATATAATGTAAATAAGGTAAATTAAATGATAATGAAAGAGAACCAGTTTATAATTCATCTTCAATATTCTGACAAAAACAAGATAGTGCTGCATATAGTACTGTCATTGTGTATTGTAAATAAATACTTATATTAGTTATTATGCATAATAACAGTTTTTTATAATTATATGCCATTATTAAGAAGTTGTACTTACAAGTTTAAAACAATTTCTTTTGGCTGTATGAAAATGAAGGATATTATGATACAGCATAGTATAACATCATTGACCTCTAAATGTTTCAGTGGATGAAGGGTAGGATCTTACATTATTAATATATTTACAAACTAGGTAAATTGGCTTTGTTCTATACAGCATAGGGACTTGTTTATAAACAAAATATTTATGTTCCCATGAACTTATCACTTTGCTCCCAAAATGTTACAGTTTAAATGTTTTTGAAACTTTGTTGAAACCTGTAAAGGATGGAGGTATAAGTGTCACAATGTTAACAACTTTGAAACCTTGGAAATTTGCATTAGCAGTTTTACATTATCTACTTTTTAATAGCTGTTAAGTAACCATACAACATACCCCAACAAGAATGAATAAAAACAAAGTGCAAAACAAAGCCTAAAATATAAACCACACAAGTAAAAATTTCATAGATACATAAACATAAGCCTCT